AGTTTCTACTTTCACTTTTGAAAGCAGTTTGGCTTTGTAGACTTCAACCCCCTTTTTCTATATTTAGAATTTTGGACAAATGTCTGCTTTCTTTATACCATTTATCCTGTTTAAATCAGTTTTGAAGTTTCCTAGGCAAAATAAATTGCTTTTTCTCTCACTCACGTTCACTGCAACTTTTCACAGCTACTGTCTTTTTTAACCAGTTTTTCTACTCTGAGCAGCATACTTGACATATATTAGAAAATCAGTTTTTTTTCTTCTTAAGCAAAGAAAGTTACAGGAAGTAGTCTTAAAATCTGCAATTCACCAAAGCACTTTCAAATGTTACACTCTAAAGAGATAGGCTTTATTTATCCAGTTAATAACATGATATTTCATGGTTCCAATTCCTAATTAATATTGGTTGGGTTGGGTTACATTTTATTGACACTAGCACAGAAAAAATTAATTTTAAAAATGAAGAGATCATATTTTAATCTCTCAAATCAGTATTTATAGCAAAAATGCAATGATGTATTTTCTTTATAAAATGACTTTTGCTAAAATTCATTATACTAGTACATTAATATTCTATATTTGAAGAATAAATGATGTAGTATGATAAAATGACAGTGCTATACCACTATGAAATAGTAAAGAAAGGACTGACTTTGGATTCTTTTAATCATTCACTTATTCATGTATTAACTTATTATCTAATAGCTAAAGTTAACCTTGGAAAGGATCTAATTACCCTGGGCTCTGCTATTTTTTCTGTTAAATCAGACTGCCTTAGAATGTGATTAATACCTTTTTCTGACTTTCGGTATTCTTACTACTCATGAAACAAAAGTGACACAACATTTTGGTTAAGGAAGTATTACAAGGGCAAGAGACAAAGAAATATTTAAGTCTATGTTTTGCTTGTCATGCACTCATGCTGGGAAGAGGGACAGAAACTGACAAGAGGCCTTTAATTTTTTTTTTTTTTTTTTTTTTTGAAGAGTAGTTTCACTCTTGTCGTCCAAGCTGGAGTCCAATGCAATGATCTTGGCTCACTGCAATCTCCGCCTTCTGGATTCAAGTAATTCTCTTGTCTCAGCCTCCCAAGTAGCTGGAATTATGGGTGCCTGCCACCACGCCCACTTAATTTTCTTCTTAGTAATTTTGGTGGAGACAGGCTTTTGCCATGTTGACCAGGCTGGTCTCAAACTCCTCACCTGAGGTGATCTGCCTGCCTTGGCCTCCCTAAGTGCTGGGATTACAGAAGTGAGCCATCGCTCCCAGCCTTGGCCTAGGACTTTTTTTCTTTAGTACAATCTTAATGTATTGCAAGAAAGAACACTCAGAATATGAAATTAAAATAAGCATTTGTGAGAAAAACAAAAATCAAAAGATTATTGATGGTATTAGGCATTTGCTTAAGACCATTCTAAGAAAAGTCTGGAGAATGTGTGGCAGGTGAGGATTTTAGAAACATTCAAGGTAGTCCACTAAGGTACTGGTTTAGAAACGCACTACAATTAATGGCCCTAAGAGTTTAAGAAGGATGGACTTTGGCATCAAATAGGTCTGGATATAAAACTTAGCACTTTTGTCTTATACTTTCATAGAAGGTGACTTTTATCCTGTAGAGTTGTTGCTGGTAGGTTTTATTTTATTTTTATTGAAATTAGGACATGAGATTTTCACAAATCTTTTCACTCATTGCTGCCATGTGCCTTGCCTGGTATACTCCATAAACATCACCTCACCTTCTTTCATGATCCATACATGCTCATTGCCTCCCTTCTTAGTCTTCTTGTTACTGATTTAAATTTAATAACAAAATAAAAATAACTGAAGTAAATATAGAGGCAAATATTTAATATGGTTTGGATGTTTATCCCTTTCAAATCTCATGCTGAAATGTATTCCCCAACATTGGAGGTAGGACTGAGGGGGAAATTGGATCATTGTGATGGCTCCTTCGTGAATGGTTTCAAGTCATTCCCATGGTGATGAATGAGTTCTTATACAGTTCAGTCAATTCACTTGAAATCTGGTTGTTTAAAAGAGTCTTAGAGCCCCTTACAGCCCCTTTTGCCTTCTGTCTTTCATCTTCTGATTGGAAGCTTTCCAAGGCCTCACCGGAAGCAGATGCCAGCACCATGCTGCTTGTACATATGCCAGCACCATGCTTCTTGTTCTTGGACTGAAGAACTGTGAGCTAATTAAATCTCTTTTCTTTATAAATTACCCAACGTCAGGTATTTACATCAATGCAAATGGACTAACACAGTATTTTTGCCTTTTAACACTATTCTGAAAGACGTTAACAGATTGAAAATCATTTTTATGTCATTATGCAATATTCATTTTAACAAGCCAAATGTATTTATAAGGTATTAGAGAAGAAATATATTATTTCAAAAAAATACTCTGAAATTAGTGCTTCGCTTGAACTAATATAGGACCTTATGGGACTTGTAAGACCCTTGTAACAAAAACTGCGCTTACTTATCTTACAGTCTTCAACAATAGGTGGCAAAATGCCACATATTAGTAGCTGCTCAAAAATAAAATAGAAGGTAAAAAATTAGTAATATCATTAAATCATTACTTTTTAGTATGTAACCACATTCCAAAATACGATTTCAGGGGTCTATAAAAGTCATAGTACATAAATCTAAAACTTATACCGATAATTAGAGAAAAATCCCTGCAGCCTCAAATAGTCCTATCAGGATGTAAGTGGTTGATGTGCCTAAGAGTAGACCTGTGTTCTTAATCACAACTGCTGGCTGAGGTGGGAAGTGAAAACAGAGACGGGATCTTTGCAATAAGGCAGCATTCCCTAAGGATTGCCTGAGAAAATGAACAAAGACCTAGTAAAATGCATGGTCTCTTATAGCTAATTAGGATAGAGCCATGAGCTATTGTAGCAAAAAATAGAAAGTGCAATGGTAATTAGTAGAGGCTGAAGGGTGGGGTTTTAAAAATACATTGGTTAAAAGATGTAAAATAATTCACTTAGGAGAAATAAAGACAATTATCACACAACAGGCTAACTGTAGCTAAAAGTAATATACTTTATACTTGGAAATTGCTAACAGAGTAGATTATAAGTATTTTCACTACAAAAAATTGTAAGGTAATACATATGTTAGCTTATTTAATCATTCGACATGTGTATGTGTATCAAAATACAATGTTGTGTCCTACAAATATAGACAATATTATTTGTAAATTTTAAAATAAATATAAAGCAAATCAAAATGTTACATTGTTGAATAGACTAATTATAAAACAATACGCTATAAAAGTATACCTCTTCAAAAATAATATAATTATGAGGGAATATGTCAAAATACTTTCTTGTGTATTTTGAATTTCTATAGTATATTATATAAAGAATTATAGAACAATCTTATGGAAGATGAGGATGATGTTAAATAAATAACACATGATTACTATGTGCCAGAAACAGCTCTAAATATTTTTGCCTATACTGTCTCATTGAATCCCCGGGGAAACTTAATAAGGTAAGTAGTATTACCCCCATTTTACAGAGGAGGAAGCAGAGATACAGATTTTAAAAAATGTCAAAAGATATTGGTAATGGTGATGACAGTATCTTCTAAAGCTCTGTCTACTAAAGGCAGAATTTTCTGCAGCTATTTCACTCTCAAATATATACCAATACATATATACATAATATATGATATAGCAAAATAACAGAATATCACACAGCAATGAAGAGGAAGCAACTGTTGTTACATGGAATAATATAGATTTGTTAAAGCTAGTTGGTGGGAATAAAAATTTTACTTATGAAATTATATATTTTTTTGTATGTTTTCTTTATTCTTATAAGTTATATTAAATATTACTTAAATCACTTTAAATTGACAGAATAAATACTAATATCTCTTCTTTTTCTTGTCTTTAAGTCTCCCTATCAATTAATTCTATCAGTTCTCTTTCATGTTCTCAAATTCTCAAAATGTTTTGGAAGGTCTTTATGCAACTTATTCATAGGCAAATATATACATAGTCAATAAATACCAAGAAATATTTCCAGGTTGAGTGATACAATATGTGTTTGTTTGTTTTTAATTGTGTCACATTGTTTGCCATGGATGTTGGACCACCAAATAGTAAAGCATATACATAGACTGTGCTATACAGTAATGTATCAGAGAACTGAATTCCCATACTAATATGCTACCAAACAATTAGATCTTTGGCTATGCTAAAGGTTGAAAATATTTCAGTTTAATTTTAATGTGTATTTTTCTCTTATAAGTGAAACTGAATATCATCTTATATGAGAACTTCTTGTTTACTTTGTAAGTTTTCTACTTAAATCCGTTTTCAATTAGACATTCACACATTGACCTGTTTCTTTATCTTTTAATACAATTATCAATTTCAGTATACATTGTGAACATTTTTCCAGTTTTTGTCTTTTTTTTTTTTTTTTTTTTTTTTTTTTTGAGATGGAGTTTCGCTCTTGTTACCCAGGCTGGAGTGCAATGGCGCGATCTCGGCTCACTGCAACCTCCGCCTCCTGGGTTCAGGCAAGTCTCCTGCCTCAGCCTCCTGAGTAGCTGGGATTACAGGCACGAGCCACCGTGCCCAGCTAATTTTTTGTATTTTTAGTAGAGACTGGGTTTCAGTTTTTGTCTCTTAAGTGTTGTGTATAATTTTTTTAAGTTTTAAAAACTTACATATTGAGTTTTTCAATCTTAGAGTGTCTGAAATTTTTGTTAAACTGACAAATTCCATTATATATTTTTATCATGTACAACAGGATGTTCTGAAGTATATATACATTGTGAAACGGTGAAATCTAGCTAATTAAAAATGCATTACTTCAAATAGCTATCAGTGGGTGAATGGATAAAGAAAATATAATAGAATACTATTTAGTCTTAAAAAAAGAAAAACTTCTGGCATTTACAGCTACATGAATAAAGCAGGAGAATTTTACGTTTAGCGAAACAAGCAAGGTATGAAATAAAAATATCAAAGACCTGTAAGTTCGTGAAGCGCCCGGAACTCACAAGAAGTTGATCTCAGCGGACAGCCCAAGATGGTGGCGTACGACCAGGTCCCGTTTGCAGCTCTCAGCGAGACAAACACAAATGGCGAAGTGACTCCGGCATTTCCAACTGAGGTACCCAGTCCATGTCATTGTGATTCACTAGGCAGTTGGCAGAGAAAGGAAAAGGAGGGTGGGGTGACAGTTTACCTGGGAGCTGACCGGGCAAAGGGAATTCCCTACCTCAGCCAAGGGAGGCAGTGAGGGACCGAGCTCCAGGCCCCGGGTACTGCATTTTTTTCCCATGGATTTTTGCAAACCATGGATCAGGATATTTCCTTCTAAGTCTACACCAGGAGGGCCTTGGGTCTCAAGCACAAAATCGGGCAAACTCAATTTGTGGCAGCTGTTCTGGTCAGTCAGGCAGGCAGGCGCTGAGCTGCCAGAGTGTTTTTTTTCTTTTTTGCCCGTGCCTTGGCGCTGGAACTTGTGAGGCGCCCAGAACTCCAGTGAGGCGGGAAAACTACCCACTCCAGTGGAAATGGGGCTGAGGCCGGGAGCCTACAGCCTTGCTCAGTGTGTCTGACTTCCGCAGAACCCGGCAAACTGAGACCCACTGGCTTGAAATCTCCGCTTGCCTGCATAGCAGCCAGGAGTCTGCCTGACAACTGAGTTCCCAGGGGGGAGGGGCAACCGCCGTTACTGTGGCTCTAGTTGGGGTGTGTGTGTCTGTGTGTGTGTGTGTGTGTGTGTGTGTGTGTGTGTGTGTGACAGAGTCTTGCTCTGTCACCCAGGCTGGAGTACAGCGGCGGCATCTCGGGTCACTGCAACCTCTGCCTGCTGGGTTCAAGCAATTCTCTGTTTTTTTTTTTGAGACGGAGTTTCGCTCTTGTTACCCAGGCTGGAGTGCAATGGCGCGGTCTCAGCTCACTGCAACCTCCGCCTCCCAGGTTCAAGCAATTCTCCTGTCTCAGCCGCCGGAGTAGTTGGGATTACCGGTGCATGCCACCACGGCCCAGCTAATGTGTTATATTTTTAGTAGAGATGGGGTTTCACCGTGTTAGTCAGAATGGTCTCTGTCTCCTGACCTCGTGATGCGCCCGCCTTGGCCTCCGGAAGTGCTGGGATTACAGGCATGAGCCACCACACTGCCCTCTAGTTGGTGTTTTTACCTGGCCAGTGCTAGGAAGGCTGGGCAGTTTGGACTGGGTGGTATTCCCCAAAGCATGGTACAGAGACTGTGTCACAGAAGTACAGAGGTTTCTTTAGGTGGGACCCAGATCTATTCACCCTCACCAGGCAAGGCCTCCCTATGGCAATTTCAGCAATGCCAGCCAGGGGCTTGCAGCCATAACTCATCTCCCTGGGACAGAGCATCTGGGTAAAGGGCTGGCTGTGGTCTCAGGTTCAGTGGACTTAATCTTTCCTGCCTGCGGGCTCTGAAGAGTCAGGGCAATCCATATGAGGAGAATTCCCCTAGCACAGTGCACCAGCTCTACTAAGAGACAATCAGACTGCTTCCTTAAGTGGGTCCCTGACCCCAGTGCCTCCTGACTGGGGAAGACCTTCCAACAGGAATTGCCAGACACCTCATGCAGGAGAGTTTTGTCTGGCATTCGGTTGGTGCCCCTTTGGGACAAAGCTTCTGGGGGAAGGAGCAGGCAGTAATCTTTGCTGTTCTGCGTGCTGGTGATAACCAGATAAACAGGGTCTGGAATCAACCCCGAGAAAACTGTAGCACACCTGCAGAAGAGGAGCCTGACTGTTAGAAGAAAAACAAACAGAAAGCAACACCATCAACAAAAAAGACCCCACAAAAACCCTGTCCAAAGGTCAGCAGTCTCAAAGATCAAGGGTAAATCCACAAAGACGAGGGAAAACTGATGCAAAAACACTGAAGATGCCAGATGCCTCTTCTCCTCCAAATGATTGCAACACTTCTCCATTGGGGGCACAGAACAGGGCTGAAACTGAAATGGATGAACTGACAGAGGTAGGCTTCAGAAAATGGTAGCCTTCAGAAAGTGGGAAATAATTAACTTCACTGAGCTAAAGGATTATGCTCTAGGCCAATGAAAAAAAGCTAAGAACCATAATAAAATAGGAGACATTAACTAGAATAACCAGTTTAGAGAGGAACATAAATGACCTGATGGAGCTGAAAAACACAGCACAAGAGCTTCATGATGCAAACATAAGTATCGATAGCTGAATCAAACAAGTGGAAAAGAGAATATTAGAACTTGAATATTATCTTGCTGAAAGAAAGCAGGCAGAGAAGAGTAGAGAAACAAGAATGAAAAAGAATGAATGAAACCTCCCAAAACTATGGGACTATGTAAAAAACAAACAAAAAACATAGCTACAACTGATTGGAGTGCCTGAAAGAGAAAGGGGAAAATGTAAACAGGTTGGAAAACACACTTTACAATATCATCCAGAACCTCCCCAACCTAGCAAGAAAGGCCAGCATTCAAATTCAGAAACTCCAGAGAACTTCAGTAAGATACTCCATGAGAAGATCTATCCTAAGACACATAATCAGCAGATTCTCCCAAGGCTAAAACAAAGGGAAAAATGTCAAGGGCAATCAGAGAGACAGGGCAAGTCAACTACAAAGAGAAACCTACCAGACAAACGGTAGACCTGTCAGTGGAAACCCTTCAAGCCAGAAGAACTTGAGGGTCAATATTCAACATTCTTAAAGAAAGTAATTTTCAACCCAGAATTTTATATCTAGCCAAACTAAAATTCATAAGCGAAGGAGAAATAAAATCATTTTCAGACAAGCATATGCTGAGGGATTTTGTCGTCACCAGGCCGGCTTTGCAAGAGCTCTTGAAGTAAGCACTAAACATGGAAAGGAAAAACCATTACCAGCTGCTGCAAAAACACAATGAAGTAACCAGGCCAATGACACTACAAAGCAACCACATAAACAACCTGGAAGCAATTATCTTCAGCAAACTGATGCAGGAAAAGAAAACTAAACACCACATGTTATCACTTATAAGAGGGAGCTGAGCAATGAGAACACATGGGTACAGGAAGGGGAGCAACACACACTGAGGCCTGTTGGGGGTGGGCAGAGAGCTTTAAGGGAAAGAACTAATGCATGCTGGCTTAATACCTAGGTGATGGTTTGATAGGTATAGCAAACTACCATGGTACACGTTTACCTATGTAACAAACCTGCACATCCAGCACACATACCCCTAAGCTAAAAAAAAAAAGTTGATCTCATAAGAGAGTAAGATGGTGGTTACTAGAGGCTGGGGTTGTCAAGGGCAAATAAGTTGGGGTGAGTTTGGTTAATTGAATTTTTATTCATTTTTGCCTTAGAAAAGACTTAATTCTGAAATTAATTTTCCCATTCCTGCTTTAAAAAAAAAAAAAAACCTCACTTTTCTTCTCTTTCTCCTATGTCTCCTCTCCTCCTTTTGTTCCCCCTCATCTTTCTTCTTCCTCCTCTTCTTTTTCCCCTTCCCCCGTTCTTCCTCATCCTTCTTCCTTATTTTTTTCTCTCTCTCCTTTTAAAAACACAATGTTCTGGTTTAATTAGAGTGTATCTTAGTTTGGGGTTCATGCATAGATCCACATTACCTTTTTTGTTAGATGAATCTCCAGATAAGCTTACATAATTTTTAACTTTCTATCATTTTCCAGTGATCATAAATACTGGAAACACTTTATTAGGTATTAAATATCATCGTGCATGTACAGATATTTTAAAACTTTCATTTGTAGTTATTTTGCTGTCTATTCATGTACAATTACCATATGATTATTTTTATGGCAACAGAATATATTTTGTTGTCTGTTAGTACTGTTGCTTTATTCTTAATTTCCAAAATTTCTCTGGATATATTTGATATATTTTCCCTGTAAAATGTAGAATCAGCTTTGCTAGTTAAAAATTCCTTCTCTCACTCTTATTGAGAGTACATTAGATATATTAATTAACATAGGAAGAACTGGCATTTTGTGACTTCCAATATGTTTATTTATAAATCTATTTTTTTGTTTGCCTTTATTCATCTCAACTTAGGGATACTTTAAGTGTTAAAAGACATTGATATAATGTATAATTCTAGTTCTGTTTATTAATATGTATTTCATGTGTTTTCCTGTTTTACTATTATAAATTTATCTTCTAATTGATGACTATTTCTATAGGAAAAGTTATTGATTCTTGAATATTTTTAGTTTTGTAACCAGCCGGTTTTCTATAGTCACCTATATATTTTTCTTGTATTATTATACTTAATCTTCTTGGATTTTCTAATCATCAAGAAATTATCATTAAGTAATAATTATTATTACTCTTCTTTTCCAATTTTTATATCTCTAAGTTCCCTTCCCTATGATACTAGCTCTGACTTCCAAGACATTGCTGAATAACGATGAGGACCAAAAATATATCTAAATTCTAAATTCAATAACACTGCTTCTAGTATTTCTATTTAAGAATAATTCTAGCATTTCTTTTGTTAAACTAAACATAGTTTTTATTGTTAAAATGTATCCTTAGTACTTTAAGATTTTCTTATTAACATAGTTATGAATATTATCAGAAGTCTCTTGCATTATAGAGATATCAGTATGTGCTCTTTTTCTCTTCTCAGAGTATTTGTCATGTTTTCTGATGACTCATTACTTGTTGATGTCCTTGTTTGAGAAAATTTTGATTTTTGTGATATCTATGTCCCACCATATTAGAATCTAGAAAATGCAGTTATTTAGTGAGGACCCATTATAGGCTTAGATATGGGTCTAGGTATTCGACCAAGAGTTCAACAGTACACTTTCTCTTAGAGACTTTGATGCGGAAGTCAATAAGTTGAGTATTTAGAATTTCTATGGAATTCATTTTGCCAGCAAACATACCCAGATTTCAGTAACAACAGAAGCAAGAGGTTGAATTGTAACCCTCAAGTTGTATTGATGGGGCAGTGTCCATGAGTGGGTTATAAGCCTTTGTCCAGTGACTGAGTGACTTCAGTGACTGCAGTTATCTTCTCATCAAGACAAATTAATACCATTGTTTTGAATGTTGTAGCTGGAAGCTTAACTTCCTGTTTAGTTTGCCAGAACCTACTGTTTTATTAATATAATTACTCTAAGACCTCTATTCACTGGGGAAGATATAAATAGAAAAAACTGACCCTCAGGGTGCTATTGGAAGTCTGGGAATAGCTTTATTAAAAGAAAAACTTAAACAAATTAAATATAACAGAACTTAATTGAGCAAACAATAATTCATGAATCAGGTAGTCCATAGGCAAGAAAAGTTTCAAAAAGCTGTGCTGAACAACTGTGGTCAAGAATTATTTATAGACAAAAAAATAGAAGTGAACTAAATCAAAAGCTTGATTGGTTACAGTTCAGAGTTTTCCTTATTTGGACATAGTCTGCTCAGTTGGAAGTTTGTGATTCGCTGAAGTTCAGATGTTGTGATTGACTGAGACTCAGCTATTACTTATAAGAATATGCTCTTGTTAGATTGTAGTTGTTTACATACCCAGGTTAAAGTTTACTACAAAGGAATTCAATGTTCTGAGGCAATCTTAGGCAAAATTTAATTTATTTTAACAGTTCTGGCATGGTTAGAATTCTGTCCCTTAGCAGTATAATTAAGATATGTAACTCATG